TATGATAGTGCCACTGCGCCCCAGCGTGGGTGGCAGAGCAAGACCTTGTCTCTAAATATATAAAAAAAAATCCTAATGCCTGAATTCCACCCCATTGATGTGGGGCTTGGATATCAATGTTTTTAAAAACCTCCTCAGGTGATTGTAATGTGCAGCTGTGGTTGAGAACCACTGAGCTAGGTTATCTCTAGGTCCCTTTCCAATCCTAAAATAGCATCAGTCAAACTTATCTAAACCCTTCTTGGAACTATTTACATGTTCAACGTATAGGAGTAAGACATTTTTAGCTTTTATTACTCGCTGTGTGGAAAACTTTCTTGAATTTGTCCTGAAGTTACCCTTTCTTTGAGTGACCCAGGCTTGAGCCTCTTTCACTTTCAAGCATCGTCATCCTCTAGCTCTGTGGTCCCCAAGCCCCGGGCCACAGAATGGTGGCCTGTTAGGAACTGGGCTGCACAGCAGGAGGGGAGCAGCAGTGAGCAAAGTTTCATCTGTATTTACAGCTGCTCCCCGTAGCTCATATCACTGCCTGAGCTCTGCTTCCTGTCACATCAGCTGCAGTATCAGATTCTCATAGGAGCGCAAACCTCCTGTACACTGCGCATGCGAGGGATCTAGGTTGCATGCTCCTTATGAGAATCTAATGCCTGATGATCTTAGCTGAAGCTGAGGTGGCGATGCTAGTGCTAGGAAGTGGCTGCAAATACAGATTATCATTAACAGAGAGGTTTGACTGCACAATAAATGTAGTGCACTTGAATCATCCTGAAACCATCCCCTCCACCACCATCCCCCCCGATTCCCAGTCCGTGGAAAAATTGTCTTCCATGAAACTGGTCCCTGGTGCCAAAAAGGCTGGGAACCACTGCTGTCCCTGCATCCTGGAGCAGCTGCTTCTCCACTCAATCTCCCTTCCTCAGGACTTCCTCTGACCGTCCCCTCGCTGGCCCCCCTTGCTGGCTGCAGATCCCCTTCCTAAGACCCCAGGACCAAAAGTCCCAGCAATAAGATGCCACCAGTTCCATATGGGTCTCAGGAGAGAGGGGTGAACTAAGCAGGCCACGCTTCTCTTTAAAACTTCTTCACTTTCTTTCTTGCACTTCCACCCACAGCTCAGTGGTGACCCAGATTCCCAGGGAGCCCATTTGAGGATGTACCCCAGTTCCTAGTCTAGCTCTCTGCCAAAGAGAACTCTTCCTTCCTTGCACAACCACGAGGCAATTCTTTACCCCACCCTCCTTTAGAGAAAGTGATGCCTCCCCATAAACTGCTCTCTCCCTTGGATTCACCCCTTTTCTCCTCAGGACAATCCTAGGACTTTAGTAACCCACAGCAGAACTCCCCTCAAAATCTGAGTTAATCAACCAAGAATTACACAACAGGTGTGTGGGGGGGAAGGTCTCCTCTTTCCTCCTGACTATCCAAGTGGCAGCTAACAGATCACACACACACACACACACACACACACACACACACACACACACACACATACACACACACACAGAAACACACACAGAAACACACACAGAAACACACTTTCATGTTTCCCAAATAACAATGGTATGTTCTCTATCCATATTAAGCAAGAGGAACTGTTTTCTAAAGTAAGACCTAATGAACACAGATTTATGTCTTCAATAGGTTTGGTACTTTACTATCATGCAAAGCTGCATGGTCTCAGATTTGTTTATCTTCCAGCCCCTACATCTTTCCCAGAGGCCTATAGGAGTATAGGGGATGAGGCCAGGTACTCTGCCTTTAAAGTACAGAGACACCTGGTCCTGACTGGTGACCTCTGGCCACCATACTAAAATTGAGCCCTGGAGGCTCTGAGATACCCCACTGACCAAATGACAGTTTTAGGCAGGGCATCTCCATGCCTCATCTGTAAGGGGAAGCGAGACTGTCGGCTTCCCTGGAGGTTAGTTATACAGGCTTTGAAGATTTGGAAATGATGGTAACTCCATGTTTACTTTAATCTACTTATTCATAATTTCATTGGCATTAATCCTAACTCTTTTTAGCCTTTATCTTTCTAGATCGAATAATGATTATTAAAAACCTTTTCTATCAACAGGTAGCCAACCCCTCCCTCCTCCCTCTCTTCAGTTATCCTTATCTATCCATACCTTGCTCCCGCATGTTCACCTGCAGGCTTAGGCCAGCTGCCCAGATGTCACGCTCTGGCCATTGCTTGAGGTAATAGTTTCCAGATGTGTACTGCCTTCACCTTTGTCTCATCTTATCTCTGTCAGCTTTCAAGAGTTGACCCCTGATTTAAGTTTCCCAATAATTTGAAAATCAGCCCATGCCCATCTTACCTGAAATTCTCAGAGCTTTAAATTTTTAAAATCACATCTCCGCTTTAACTATTGATTTTGCATTTTGAAGGTAGGTAGTCGGTCTTGCATATGGTGAGCACTTAATTAATGTTTTCTTTTATTAATCTCTCAAATGGTTCCGAATAGCAAAATTATTCCTTCTTTTAAGCTTTCATTTATGATTTTATTCAATGCCTTTGTGGTATGAGGAACTAGCTATAGGTACACATGTGACTGTTAGGGCAAAAGATCAAATTCCAAAAAAGATTATTCTTTCAGGTATTAGGAGTTCAGACTGAAACATCAGATAATCTGAGTTGGAGAACTTCTACCCTGATTTTATAACCTCGGGGAAGTTATTAAATCTCTCCAAGCTTCAGTTTCATCATTTACAAAAATGAGGACGATAATATATACCTTGTGTGGTTTCTTGAGGATTAAATGTGGTAATGCCCACAGAACCGGCCCACAGAGAGAGCTGAGACCACGCAAACTATTATTATTGTGCTTTTAGCTCCTTCAAGTGAATAATTCAGACACTGAACATTTCAGTGTTCTTCGAGTGTAGTTAGAGAACCATCTTTATCAGAATCAACTGAGGTACATTTAAAACATGCGATGCCTGGGCCCCACCCCAGACTCACCGAATCATGCTTTCTAAGACCAAGGCACCTTCATTTTACCCCAAATCCTAGGTATATGTTGATGAGAGACATTTTAGATTGTCCCAGTGCTGCCGATGATGTTTTACCTGCTGCTACAGGTTTCTGAGTTGTCTTGTGTGAGCTGCAGCAGCTAAGACTGGGTGGGCAACATTCATCACACTTAGAAATGCACCAGGTGACCTGTTGGCCCAAATTTCTGGAAAGTTCTCAAAGATCATTTTGAGTTGGAGTCACACATGGTGATGCACAGTAGCTATATTTGCCCTTGTCTGACATTTCTTTGTGAATCCTATTCTATTCTAGATTTAGGCAAAAACTAGGGGCATGTGAAGAGAGAATAAGAGATAAACAGGTAGGAAAATGCTCTCTATGAGAGCTGCAAGAGAATTGATTCAGGAGGCAGAGGATCAGAGTGGGGAATAAAAAGGAAAAACAATGGCATCCAGAAAGGGGATATGTCGGTGCCAATCACTGGACATCTTTGGATTCTTTGCTCTTTGTCCCTTGGGAGCAGCTGCTGGGGTGGGGTGGAGAGTGTGAAGGGGATCTGGTCCGTGTGAATAGATAGTTGTTGACAACAGGCCAGTTTCAATTCAGTTTCAAGCCATGACAAATGAGTTTTATTGGCATCTCCGAAAAGCAGCAATTGTTCTATTTCCATGGCATAATTATCCCACGAGGCAGGTTGCAACTTGCCCTATTTGCCCAAGCCTTAATTGAGTCCCCAGGGAGGGGACAGTCAGATGGTGTAATTTTGAAAGTATATCCATCTCCTGGTAGGACGAAGCCCACTGTGGTGGGCGCTTCTTTCCTTGGGTCTCCAGAGTATAGAACCTGTAGTCTGGCAGCCCTTGTGCTTAGCATCTTTGTGTCCCGTGGATAGTCCTTCCCTTTTGGGGAGGTCTGACTTAGTTGTGATGGGAGCACACCTTTGTGAGTATTAAGAAGCTGGGGATTAATGATTCCATAGGTTCCCGAACAGTCTTTCACAAATAGTGGCTCAAACTTTTCACCACTGGGGAGTAAGGAGCAGGACTTTGGTATCCTTCAGACCTAAGCTTTGGTGCTTACTGGCTGGGAAATATCGGAAGGTGACTTTACTCCTCATTTTGCTATCAATGTTGTTGTAAAGGTTAAATGAGATAATGTGGGAAGAAACCCTTAGACAATTCAGGATAGGCTCAGAAAATGGTAACAGTGGCCAGTGGGTATGGTATCAATACTGCTGCCACTGTGCTCAAACTTGGGATATGGAACATCCAACCCCTCTCCCCCAGACTTCAGGGATTCAGTCCTGTGTCCTGATGCCCTCAGCAAACAGGATTTGACAGTATAGCCTAGCATAGGTAGATTAAGTAACTCTTTACCTTGAAAGACAGCTGGGCTTCTTCAAACAGATTAATCAGAGGAAGTAAACTCTGAAGTTCAGCTGTGAACAACATGGTCCGTTGTATAAATCAATTAGTAAACACAAGTGATGCATATTTAAGGACCTACAACAGAAATTCAGAAATATACAGTAACAATGACTTTCTAAATTGGCTTGCCTCAATGGTATGGCAGCTCTCAAGGGAGAGAAGATAAAGTATTTGCTTAGAAAGTTTACAAACCAATCCTTTAGAAAATACAAAGAATTGTCTGCAAGTTAATGTTGCTGTAAGTAAGATGTGCTTTTTTGGTCATATTAACATTTAATTGACTAGTGTTATATATGAGAAACTAATCATTCACGAATGTCGTCTTCTCATGTTGTTGCAAGATGTACACCCTTATTTAGAGATGAGGCAGATTTTTCCTTTTCACCATCACAGCTGTCTACCCTCCACTCCACGGGCGCTAAGGCACCCCATGGGCACTAAGGCATCCCACCACATTGCAAATCAAAATAATTTTAAATTCATGAATCAATCAGATTAGACCACTGAAGATGAATTGGTGACTTCCAGAATTAATTGATAATATTCAAATCCATTAGAAACTGTTATTGGAAATTAAAAAAATAACCCAATATTTTGTAATACAAAATTATTTATTGGTAAAAAAAAGAGACAGAGAGAGAATTTGTTCGTTATACAGAAAAGTAAAACAATTGAAAGTTCCCTATAAAAATTTTAACTGTGAGCATACAAAGTAGGAGTGACACTGTGACCGGGTTTGAGGACTTCATATTTATGGCTAAGTTAGCATCAGAAAGTTGAGAATGGTGACATGTAGACGGTGCTTGTGATATTTGTTAACGGGTTGCATATTTTGAAGTGTCATCTAGATGTGGTAGAAAAACAGATATACCCATGCCAGGTTCCAAATGACTGTAATTTCTATTAACTATAGCAGATGTCACAGTTTGTTTCCCTCTTATAGAAATCGCTGGCGGCGGCTGCTGAGGGGGCAAGTTCCAGGCAGTCTGTGCCGGGGTAGGGAAAGTACTCTGATGCTCGGAGGGCATCCAAGTGCTCTGCCTCGCAGGAGGCGCAGTAGCAGACGGAGGTGGTGGCCGAGGAGAAGCAGTTGTACTGGGTGTGCGAGGGCAAGTGATGGGAGAAGTAGTCTTCTGAGGGGTAGCCACAGTTTCGCGTGTCCAGAGGAGGGGGAGAGGTGTAATTCTCCGGAGCATACGAAGGCAGCTGAGCTGGTGAGTAACTGTAGTCTAAGGAGCCAGAGAGAGTGGAGGAATCCGAAGGTGATCCCGGGGTCTAGAGAAACAAAAACCAAGGAACAAAGAGCTTGATAACTTAGACAGGATCAAAAGAAGTGAACAGTGTGGATTTATCAGCACAGACTATGAAAATCAGGAGTAAAAACAAAACAACATCCAACCCAAGTCTGCAGAAGCAATTTTATTTGCTGACTATATGATTTCATGACACCGTATTCTATATTTACCTATTTCTTTCCCAACAATAAATTGCCTTGCTTCACTGGCTTCCTTTGTTATAACCATACTTTAGAGGATGCTTTGTTCTTAAACCACAAAATCTCATTGTGCTTCAAGTCACCTGTGCAGCAGCAAATCCTGCTGTGTGCCACAATATAAGCTGCAGGTGGCACCTTGGCAATTTCTCCACACGCTTGCTCACCACAGAGAACCAGGTGAACATGCAAAGGTAGCTCTTGGATCCTTAAGGACCCAGTGCCTCCGTACTCCAAGAGTACTCTGTACTCTAGCCTTCCTACCGCTAAAGTTTTTTGGGGGGAAGGTACCATCTGTTTCTCTTAAGCAAGTCTACAGTGGTTACTGAGAAAGCCTCACTCGGAGTCTGGAAGGGAACTGGGTCATTGTGGCCTACTATTTTACCCGTGACAACATGCATATTCTGCAGCGTTAATTCTCTATCCCCTCTAAAATTTAGTCTGAAGCCTATCCAGACTTTCAACAATCAAAAAAAAAGATTCTTAAAACAATTTTACATCTTAAGGTTTAAAAAAATGGGGAGTCTCTAAAAACATCTAAAATAACTAGGATCTACTAATAGAAACCTTACTTCGGTTTAAAGGACAACACATTTTTGCACATTTGAGATCCATCAAGAGTAGACAATCCAAATTATTTCAAAGATTAGGGCTTCATTTTGACTAACCATCTCAGACCCAGCTGAGTTCTTGTGCCTACAGCAGATCAAAACAACCAGTTAGTAAGAGCCAGTTCAGCGACAAAACAAAACAAAAACCCCTCTATCAGAATGAAGTTTGGTATTGTGTACACACGGCCTTAATTCCATTTTCAAGAACTCCCAAATCCATCAAAACTCCAAGGGTCACTATTTAAACCAGTGACTTCCACTTAGCAGGTGTCTTAACTTCACAGTTTAAAAAACATTCAATGAATATTGCCTGGAACCTCTTTTTATTGCCATACACCAACTTAACTTGGGAGGGGTCTGCTTGGGAAATAATAATTATGTGTGTATTCAAAGGTTTATGCCCTGCAATGTGTGGCTACCTCCACATGTTGACTTTTCAATGGTTCTCTACTTGTTTTCTCATATGATTTCCTCATTAACAGTGTTTGTATGATTTCTCATGAGATGATGCAAACTCACCGACAAAGCATTATAGCCCCATATTTTGCGACAATCAGGTTATAGAGAGAACTGAGATAAATTACCAGGCTCTCGTTAAAGCAGAAAGGGGCAGCCTGGAAGCCATCTGGGAAATAGCCATGTGGGGCACTTTGCGTGGCATTGAGCTCCGAGTGTGTCTCTGACTGAAGGTAAGAATCAAAGATCTGGTCAAGGCAGCCTGGGTTTTCTTCACAAGAAACACAACTGGAAAAGTCTCGGGGATGAAAATAATTGGGCGTGGAAGAAATCGGTTCAGGCTCAAAATACAGTCCTAGAGGGGAAAGGAAAAAAAGACATATTTTTGTTTAAAAATTGCACTTAGGGATTTGGAGTTCTATCTTCTGAATAATTACTATGCCTAGGGGAAAAGGGGACTTCAGACGTTCCAGAAAAGTAAATAGGAAGGCAATTTAGATTTTTTAGTTGTCTTAGTCCCTGGGGAATGCATCTGGTTAATAATGTGGAAATTGGCTAGAAATGTGGCTAGGGCAAAAATAAAAGAATGGTGATCCAACCTGTGTCCAAGTGTCACAGTTAAATAATGGCTCAAGCTTCCACTTCTCTGGACTATAAACACATCAACATCTAGCTCCTACCAGCACTTCAAGGAAACCTCTCAGAAGTAACTGATAGAATTGTTTGAGGTTTCAAGAAAACTTCTGATGCTATAGAAAATAATTCTTTTGATTTAAGGTGATTGCTTTCCTAAACTTTTCACACTTACTCAGTAACTTACATTTTGAGAGACAGTTTTGAAAAATGATCTAAATGGCAATGCAAATGATAAACATGGAAACCAGAAACATAGGATACTAATGAGCACTCTTTGTTCTGAATTGCAAAAAGCAAAAATGTTTTCTTAGTGGACATGTAAATGTAATAATGTAATTAAAGCAAGTTGCTAAATATACCAAATAATAAGTTGGAAAACATTACTCTTTTTCCATTTTAGTATTAATAGGCCCAATTCATGATAATTATTCTTAAATGCTCAAAGAAGAGAGGTTTAGAGTGTACCTGTCGAAAGTATTAATACTACAGGACACTGGGTTTTTTTTGAAGTCTCAAATTCCTTTATGGTTAAGCTAAAGTGACACACTCAGTGGAGAGCTACCATAAGCAAAGGTTTCCTTATGTACAGCCTCCTTAAACTCTGAGCTGTTGAGTAGCATAGGTAGGAGTGTTTATGTAATAGAGTTATTCGTATTGGGCTGAGAAAACTTACACTTGTTTGAACTGCTGTCTGGGAAGAGAGAGGGAAGGGGAGGGAAGCCCCTGTCGGCTAGAAGCTAAAGGAGCAGAGAGCAAAGGCATTATTCTAGTGCCTCAGGATGTTCTTGTATTCCGTCTCCTAGTACACTAAGAAAAGATAAGATTCTGTGAACAATCCTGATTTTTTTAGTTAAGTTTAGTTACTTGGAGATGGGGAGCTGGAATAAATGTGAAAAGCAAACTCTTGGGACAAAACAAACCACAGAGAATAGAGAGTTCAGAAATGAGGACAAAAACTTGCACTTGTTTCCTTGCTGGGCTTGCATCTGGAGTGACTATGCTTTTTTCACCTTCTGATTGGTTGGATTCCAATTAAATGGTGGTGCCTATCTTAACCCCTGAATCAAGCACTGGAAGCCTTGCGAGATGGACTTTTGAAAGAGTTTTTGAGGGAACTGTAATGCTGGCTGTACTGACCTGCAGAAGATGGTGCAACTGGGTCTGAAAGGTGGGTACTGCTGCCTCCGGACAGCTGTCAAATGAAGAATATCACCATGAAGCGAAGTGAAATGAAAGATCTATGAAGGGAGAGCTAAGACATTCTGATGGGCAACTGTGTTTCTTTCTGCTATAAGGTAAGCCGGATTCCTTCTTCTCAAACAATTGCCTTCACTAAATACAACCAATGTTACAGTTTATTTAGATTCAATTTTTACATTTGCTTGCTTGGGAATTTTTTTCTCCCTAGTATCAGATTCTTCCACTTAAATTGTAAAGGTAATTAATTTTGATAAAAATTAAGGTAAATAATTTTATGTTACAGATATATAACACTTTGAGAAAACTCACCGAAGAGCCTTTCTGTTAAACTATTTAATTTAAAATTATTAAGGACTAACATTTTATTTAATTCCAACTATCACTTAGTCAATTGTGTTCTCAAAATTTTCACATACCATCTGGCTACTAAGCCTTAGAAATTTGTTTCCCCCCAAAGAACACAATTCCTAACTTCGTTAATCCTGAGTAGCTAAAAATATTCACATCTTCTTACTATATATGAAATAGTAAAATAGAAAATACTTTCTTAAAGCTGTAGTTGGTGAGTTGTAGCCTACCTACATTCTAATTAATGGTCAGGAAATATTTCAATTCTTTGTATGCTTTTTACTGTTTTCTATGAAAGTTGCTTTTTTTCACTGCTGTCTTTAAATACTTATGGTTTATAAGATTGCTCCTTGTAACTGTTTAAAGTAAAGCGACCCGCGTTTTCCACTAGAACTTATAATGATAGTAACTGAATAATTTAGAACTTTTTCTTAAACTTTAATTTCAGGTGGTGGCTTTAAAGTTTAAAGGGACCAGCGTTGCTCTGTGATTCTGTGCTGGGAAGCCGAGCTCACCACACCTCTCTTGGGTGACAGGGGGTACTCACTCCCCACACTGAGCCACTGGGAGAGCTGTACAACCAGCCACTGCTGAAACAGGAGGCGGTGTAAATTTTGAAAATGATCCATGCTGTAATGTCATGAACCAGGAAGCTGGAATCCTTTACCAGCTCTTTATGCAAATATTTGGCTGCAGCTTGTGCTCAAGGACTTGGAAGGAGTAGGTTTTAAAAAATCTGCTTCATTGTAGAGTGTTCTCATTAACCCCATTCCTCCCCCGACTGGCCTGTTTTTCTGCCTCCCATGTTATCTCCCTGAGGTGTGTTTACAATATCCTACTTGATATTATCTTTCTAGTCATGGGTTCACTTTCTACTTTGCTCCAAGAATACAAAGAAGGGCACCTCTCTCTTAGATTTCAAACAGCACAAAAATCCACAATCTACGATTTATAAAAACACATCAAGGCTATTTAAAAAAAATTAATGGTTTTAAAAAAAGGTAAATTATATGTTTTGATAAGTACTAACTCAAGTTACCCTAAAGGCAAAAGAAATGTGTGTGTGTGTGTGTGTGTGTGTGTGTGTCTGTGTGTGTGTGTTTCTGTGTGCTTGCAAATTGATCTGGCTGAAAATAAGTTTTCTTAAATCAAATTTTCAAATCTTGCATGCACACAGTTTATTCTGGCACTGCTTGAAACCTGGATATTTGTCTCAGTCTATAACTTCCACTCATGATTGCCTTCTTCAAATTTCAAATTGTGGATACTACTCTGACTTTATAACAAATTAAGAATTTCTTCCTGCTTTGTAATATTTGATATAATTAACTCTATCTTTGGCTTAAAGTTTCTCAGAGGCATCTTTCAACCACTGAACAAATTGTAGATCATCTCTTTTAACCGAGAAAGGTCTATACTAAGGAGCAGGCATAAATTATACCCTGGTATCTGCCACCCTTGCCTACTGAGTATACTGTCACAGCTTTCCTAGAATCCCAGGGCCTTCTGATGGCTTCTAGTGAGGGACTTTACATCTTGTTCCTGGAATTAAATGATATGGGTGTTGCTCCTATGTGCCTGGAAGGGCATTGGCCGATACAATCTTCCAGGAAGCACAACAAGAGCAGGCTCCTCAGCCTGTAACTACAAGGCATTGGTTCAGAAGTCCTGCTTAATTTCTTAGGAGGGAATTCAGAAAAATTTAGATAAGTCACACTGCTCCAGGGAACAGAAACCAGTTAGATACACAAGTGAAATCTTCTATCCTTGCTTTAGCTCCTATAGTTAGCTAACAGGGAAACAGTGGCCAAACCAATCTGTCAGGGCCCAACAGCAATAGAATTGCCATGTCCAAATGCAACTTCTCCAGGTGCAGCTGAAGCAGAAGTCCACCAAGGACCAAAGTTCCTTAATGAAATATTATGATTTGGTATGAACGTCTTAAAGATTTTTTTTTCTCCAGAAGCATTTTCTCATTCCCTTGTACCTGGTTTTATTAATTATATAATTATCTCCCAGCTAAAGGGGTTGAAGTACCAGATTCCTGTTTAGTATGGTCGGATCTGTACAAAGATGAATTTAGGTAGCCAATAAGGGGCAAGGGCTTTTTAGTAAGAATAAGAAGACCCTGCTCCTACTTTTAGCTTTACCATTAGCAACTACAAGACTTTGAATTTTACCTTTAATAGAGATATACAGATTCCTGATCTACTTACCTTTGCTGGTAGTAAGAACTAAATGAAATGACAAGTGTGCAAAAGTGCTTGAAAAGAAGAACCACTGTAAAACCTTCTACAAATATAAGGAAGTTTTACTGTGTTACCTGCAACTCTGCATATGGAGGTACTAACTTCTCCAGCGGTATACGCCAAATCACAGCAAGCTCACACCTGAACTCTAAACTCTGAGCAAAGGATGAGGGTGTGAATGAATATTACTAAATAGCTGGCTCTCAGTCCTTGGCTGGAATTTTATTTTAATTGCTTTTCCCAAATAATAAATAACGACAGCTGACATTTATTGAGCATGCGCTATGTGGAAAGCATTCTTCTAAGAACTTTATATGCAATAGCTCAATTAACCATCACGAAATCCTATTGTCCTCAATTTAAAGATAAGGAAATGCGCAAGAGATTGAATAATTTGCTTGAGGATACACACCAGGGAGGAGCTGAGATGTGAACCCAGTCCATCTGGTTCTGGAACTTGTGTTCACCACCCTTACATCTTTTGCCTCCTCCAATTTCATGAAGTTGTACAGGGCATGCAAACAGCACCAGGCACAGAAATCACTGTGGGGTGGATATGGGGAGAAGGACCTAGCCTAACATATAGGCAATACAAGCCCCAGCTGTCAGATCCTACATTCATACCCAAATCAACCCTAAGCTATTGTACCATCCGGGGGGCTTTCAGGGATGAGCTGCCCTCTCATGGGGGACAACCCTACCTGGTTTATTTGGTGGTTCTGCTGCTGCCACCTCCTGAGTGCCCTTGGCAGTCTCATCTGCTTTAGGAAGGTGTATAAAATATCAGGGAACCCTTATACCTGCCCAGTTCAATTCTGTAATAACCTCAAGCTACTTAAAGCTTTGTTACATATTAAGAAAGTGGTTCTATATTCCAAGCTGTCTCCTCTGCAAAGACATAGCCTTTTTCTGCCGGGGAATTTCAGTGACTGGCGATCTATATACATAAGTGATCTCAGAGGCTGAGCTCCAGAAGAATGAGGAGGTGAATTTCTGGGGGAGATTTTCTATGGGTGGGTGAGGGTTGTACATACACTGTCTTCCTAACACAATAACCACCCACTTACCTGCTGGCTACTCCGCTCCCTGCAGAGGACCAACAAACCTTTCATACTCAACTTTGATCATGGGGGATGGGCTCCCCCAAATCCTGAGCCCCACAACGTGACCCAGCTGTTCTCTGTGGCTTCCCCTGGTGACCTGAGATGACGCTGGGCACAGCAGCTATAAGGACAGTCGAGGAAAGCCAGGTTTGGGGATGGGAGTGGGCGGGCCCTCGGGTGGCCTGTACACTTTCACAGACTCAGGGCCGATGAGGGCTGACCGGGGCTGGGGAGTGACTGAAGGGTTCATGCTTACGGTTCCCCCTGAGGCTGCCTGGTGTGCCCTTCTCTGCTGCAGCAGCTCCTTCACCGTGATCTTCACGCGGACACCTTGATATACCTTCGGTTTTTCTGGGGAAAGGCAACTGAGTCAGAGGTCAAGTCCGAGGTTGGGGTGTCAGGCTAAGGACTTGGGGGCCCCTTTATAGGCTGTGTCACCTGAAACCAAGTTTCTAGGTTTGGAGAACACAAGTAGAATTCTAAAAGACGGTAAAAACCCCAGTGTCTCAAACATGAAAGGATGAAGAGAGGCGGAGCAGGTTTCATGGCCCCAGTGGGAACAGAAGCTATGGAAATAGGTGGCACCATCCTCCCCTGGCGGGCCCTGGTCCTACACCAACAGCACACGGGTGTTTCTGCTCAGGAATGTGGAGTCCAGTGCAGGGGAGCTCACCACCCAGGCTAACCAAGTTGGGGGCACCTGGGGTTCTGGGCCCAGCCTGCTAGTCTGGGAGAGGGTATTTTGGACCTGGAGCTACAAGGGGCTGGAGCAGGGGAGCTCTCTGCAGTCTAGAGCAGATGACCTAGCCCACCCCACCGTGGTGTTCCCACTGCCGTGGAAGTCCGAGTCCCTTCCTCGTCCACCACGCCAGGCGTGGCTTCTGTGGAGGCTCCGACCTCTACATGTCCTTGGTCTGGAAGCCAGCCTGGGGCGAGCGGCGGGGTTTGGCCAGCTCTGTCCTGGGCCGGTGAGGGACCTGTCAGACTGACCCTAGCAAAGGGGCCAGGCCCGAGGAATCCCTCCCTCTGTCTTTCCTTCTGCCATCTCTCCCTCGCCCTTTTTCTCCGCCTTTCCCGCGCTCCATCTTTCCCTCCTCCCTCCTTTGCCCCCGCTCCCGCTCTCCCCTTCTTCCCCTCTCTCCCCACCCCCTTCCTTTCTGGTGCAGGCGTTTCTCGGCGGGGCGGCGCGAGCTCCGGGGAAAGCCGTCCCGGCTCCCGACTACCGCGCGCTCCGCCGGGACCCGGCCCTTGGGAAGGGGCCGCCAGGGCTGGCGGGGCCGGGCCGCACTGCCCTGGCTCGTGGGGGCCGCGGGCGCGCGCCGGAGGGGTCCGCGGGAGGGACCCCTGCGCGCCGGGAGCGCGGGCAGCGTCGGCCCCGGGCCCCGAAGAGCCGCAGTGAGTAGGTCGGGCCGGCTGTTAGTGAGCGTCCGAGGTGGGGGTGGCCGCTGGAGCCCAGTAGGGCTCCGGCCCTGACCTCGACCCTGCAGGGAGCTCCCGGGAATCGCGCGGGGAGGAGCCGGGCGCGGAGGCTGGGGGCGGCCGCGCGTTTAGCTTGAGCGCCTGTGACAGTGCCAGCGCCTCGCCTGGTCACTGCGGGGACCGCAGCTGGACAGCAGGGACCCCCCAGGCTAGCTCCCGAGAGCTAGGGTCTCCCCTGCAACGGGGGTTGCGCTGTTTCTCTCCTGGACCCGGGGAATCCCGTGCCCCGCCCGCAGGCGCCGGCGCCGCGCCCTCTCCGCGCTCGGGACGTCCCCGGAGCCCCCACTTCGGGGCTCCGCGGGCAGCGGGCGCGCCTCGGGGGTCCACTCGGGCGCCGCCGCCGCTGCTCAGCTCCGTGCGGCCGGCGCTCTCTGCTCTCGTCCCCGGCTCATAGTGAGCCTCTAGCTCCCCCCGCCGCCGCTTCTGGTCGCGCACGGTCCGCGCCGCGAAGTGCCAGGACACAAAGGGAGAAGTGGGAGGGCGGGCAGGGGCCTGGGGTACGCGGACGTTCGCAGCGGCCAGCTCGGCCACTGGGCCTCTGCCCTCGCGAGCAGGTGCGGAGTGGGAGCGGCCACCGCGTGCCCTGCGCCCTCTCCGGGTCCCCGGCCTCTCCTCGCATGCCCTGACTTTGTGCCTCTCTGTTCTGTGCAGGAAAAGCGGTGGAAATACACCCGGATTGAAATGCCCCTGGCTCCCGTGACCCGACCCCTGGAGAAGCAGCCGAGTTACCCGACATCGTGGTCAGCAGGAGCCGGGTCGGTGGCTGGATGCTGCAGCTGCAGGGACTCAGCGCCTGGCAGGGCTCCTGTGCCAGGAGAGAAGCAGAGATGCAACATTTTTAAAGTTTCACAAAGCATCCGGCTGCACCCAGGTCCCTGGAGCAGGAGACAAACAGAATTAATGTTTTATACCTTCGGGTATAGGTTTGAGTTTTTTCCCCCTCATGCCAAGTATTTAAAACCTCTAGAAACCCATGATTTGACAATCAATGATTGCGCGATACTTTCAATTTGAATATTCAAAGGCTTAACAAAATGGACTATCTTCTGCAGAAATCCTGCACACAAGCACCCCACAGAGAGTCCAGAGAAACAGGGAGTGAGACTCCTGTGGGTCCTGGCCCTTGCTTTTACTGTATTTTGAGCATTTTGTCCTCCTTCCCACAGGCAGAGCAGGTGGCCTCAAAGATGCTCTGTGTTTCAGCCTCAAGGGCAGCTTGGGAGCCACGAGGGGTGTAGGCTGCCCCCCCAGGACCCCCTGAGCCAGGCTAGCTGGCCACACTGATCCCCACATTCCCAGTCTCCATTTTAAGGGGAAATCTCAGGTTTTGGGGAGTGAACATGGCAGCCAGTGGGTGTGGCACAGCAAGCAGTCACTCTGGGCCCAGGCTGCAGGCCAGAGGCCCAGTAGAGGCCTTAGCTCAGTGCCTGTCTCCTTCTGGCCCTGCCTGGCCCAGTGCGGGTTTCCCTCCCCTTTTCATCCCACTGTCTTCCTGGGCCCCACGCACAGGGGTTTCGCGCAGAGTGCCTGCAGGTGAAGACCTTTTCTTTGCTCCTACCCATGGAGCTGGGATATCTATGAGCCTGGCCCTCTGGAGATTTTCTGATACTGTGTTTTATCGCTGCACTGTGAAGTTCCCTTTTCTTACCTTTTCTCCCTCTAGTGCCACCCTGCCTTTTGGCTGTAGGAGCACATGTTAGGAAACAGTGACAAGGTGGCTCCTGTCATTTTAGCTGAAAGGATGTGGATTTGGGTTCAGACTTTCTCACTCTGGGGTGAGAAGTAGAAGGGATTTGAGGTCAGGCAGCCCCGTTGGTCCAGGCCTGAGCCCCTTACCGATGCCTTGGAACTGCACTGGGTCACCTTCTCCAATCGCTCTTCCTTGCGATTTGGAGGATGGAGGAGACAGGAGTGGTCCAGAAAGGGACACTGTGCTAGGCCAAATCCTCTTGTAGACCCTGCACGGGAAGACCGAGAAGGGGAGTGGGGCTCCCTTTGCAAATAACCAAGATATTCCCAGGACACCAGACAAAGTGATGGTTACAGCCCTCTGCTCTTTGTTCCCTGACTTCTCTGAAATGCAAAAAGTGCAGTTTGGCCTCAGAGGCCTCCAGAAAAAGATCTGAATGCTCTCAAATGTGTCGGATGCAGGGTGGGACATACAGAGCACAGGGAAAGGGCACCCCTGAGAATGACAAGACTGATGGGTAGGAATTGCTTGGCAGCTGAAGCCACATGTTTGCAGGAGAGGATCAGGTCTGAGGACACCTGAGGTGACCTGGCAGTGGAGGGAAGGATGGGGTGTGTTTCTCCCTAGTCCGGTGAGAGTCTATCAGCTGCTGGAGCCTCTTTCTCCAAAGGCCCCTGAGCCTGTGTCCTGGGGTTTCCCTGATAGAAGACAGGTCTGAGGATCGGCACTGGAGGGGAAGACAGTGGGAGTTGAGATAGCTCCTGTTCCCCACCTCCTGTCCCCTTCTCCGCTGTACCTGGGCACAGCTGCTTGTACAGGAACAGTGAACAAATTAGCCTGCAATCGGGATGTTCTCTTGTCCTGATAGCTTCTAACATTACTTCTTTTCTGCCCTCCTTGTTTTGTTTTAGTCTTATTTTTTGGTTTGCTTTTTAAAACCTTCCTTGTTGTCCTTTGGGCCTTTTTGTGTATTTTTTTTTTCCATGTTTCATTTTCTCTGTCTCTCTTTCTGTCACTGCTTTCATCCCTTTCTTATCTGCATTGCTGTTTCTCTCCCTGGCTCCCTGCGTGTCTCCATTTCCCCCTCTTCTGGGGTGCTGTCTCATACTTTCTTCTCCTTCCTGACCTCTCCTTTCACGTGGGGATGGCAGGAGGCCATTCAGTTTCCCTGGCAGCATCGCTGAAGTTGATGCTGGTGGTTGTCTACCCTGTGGAGGAGGCAGGCAAGGCGGGGGTGAGAGGAGAGCTCCTCCTTGGAAGTCATGCGGTCTGTAGGGACAGCAGCCATCTCTTTGTCCCTTTCTCCAGCAGCCTGTGCCTGAACCATGGCAGCAGTCTTGGGGGCTTCTGTGTTGGCCCCTGTTGCTGGGATGGACACCCCAGTGCTGTTGCTGGCTAGCAACTTCGGAACACTAAATTTCCCTAGGCCTGGGCCCTGTTTTGAGAGAGAAGCCTCGGTGTTTAGCCCAACATTAGGGAGTTTTGTTTCCTGTTGTTTTTATGACAAAACCCCAGCACAGGTATTTAAGAGCCAAATGCCGTGCTTGTGGAGGGAAGGGAGAATCCTTTCTAAACAGATCCTGGGACTTTTCCTTACGGATTTGCATGTACAGTGAGGCAGGGAGCAATGATGTCCACTCTGAGACCCGAGGTGCCCATAAAATTGGGTATTCCAAAAGACTAAAAAGACTGTTTAAATCATCCTTTATTATTTATTGCCTGTCAGGTGCTGTATTGGATAGCATTCCCATTTCACAGATGAGGAAACAGGCTCAGAGGATAAGTGGTGTGCTGGGATTACTGGGCACATAAATAGCAGAATTGGGATTCAAACTTTGGAGTCTAACTCTAAAGCCCTTGCTCTTAACTATCGATATTGTCTTCCTGATCTTTTATAATGGAAGCTTTCAAACTTTTTGGACTTCAATCTACAATAAGAAATTTATTTTACATGTTCTTGTATATGTGTAACAATATATTTATAAGACAAACATTATGCAACAATGTACACCTGTGTATGTGAGGCACTCTGATGTTTTCTATTCTATTCCATCTTTTCAATTTCATTCTATTTATGCAAAATGGATGTTGGTTGGGAGCCATTAAGTTAATTTAATGACCCACTAATGAGTAGCATTGGAAAACTACTGTCTGTAAGACATGCAAGCATGTTTCAGTGTTGTGCGAGTGTAAGTATTTTGGGATGATGTTTTACCAGTAGCATGTGTAAAGAGACTAAGAGTATCGTGTAAAAGCTGGAATCACTAGAGCCCTGAAGAAGAAAGATCCTGGCTAGAAGTGAGGCTGAGCTGTTAATTATGTTGACTACAGTTCATGGTTCTCAGACTGGGAACTCTTCCCTCTTCTTGGGGGCATCACCACCTCTCCGCTGTCTACCCGGAAATCCTGATAATCTCTTTGGGGTTTTAGTAAAAGACTGAAACAAACGTTGGGGGATTTCAACAGGCTTTAACAGGCTCACTTGCTTGACAATATAACATAGGGTCTTGATGTTTTGGTGTGAGGAGGGATCTTTGAAATGCTGAGAGAGACTTAGGGTCTTTTCCCAGCATCTCTACTGGTGGTTTTCCAGCCTCGGGCTCCATTGCTTGGCTGAGATCCTGGCCCATTGTAGAATCTGTGTAGAGGAAATGGAGTTCACTATTTGTAAGGCAGCCTGTTATACTCTTGGACAGCTTTAAATATAACAGTCAGTGATTGAGCCATAATCCAATTAGGTATTGATTGGACACCAACTGCGTACCAGGCTCGGTATCAAGCACCAGGAACACAAAGATAAATACACCTTGGTTTCTGCTATCAACTGCTCTGTTCTCCTACTTCCATACTGCTGTTTTTCTGTTATGGGTTTGTTTAGTTCATTCATTCATATATTCATTCAATAAATCATGTGCTGGTTATCTACTCTGACCAGGTCCAGTGCTGAGCCTGGAGGAGGTATCATGCCCACCCCACCGTCACCCTAACCCTTCTCTCTGTGAGCCTCCCCACTCACAGTTTCTCTAGTTTCTTCACACAGCAGTTTTTCAGACCTCTGGTTTTCCCTGCCACTGAGCTCGGAAACCTTTTAGTTTGTCATTGGCCTTCTTAAAGCCAGTCGGTACCCGGAATGATAGGAATAGAGTAGATTTCTTTCTGAAGTTTTAAACTGAATATTTTAACTGAAAACTTTTGGCAGTGTTTTATATGCAAACGACACTGCAGAGCATTATATTTTCCCCCCTAAGTAGGAGATTTTATTAAACTTAGACACATGCACATTAAAACACTTTCAGTATAAGGAAGAAGGGTAGTTTATTCCCTCCAAATTTGACTACAGCTCTAAATTTTCTTTATTAATGCAAAGTTCTTTTGTCACCTTGACTTTGGGACACTGTTACCAAACCTTGTGGGAAATATCAAGTTCCAAAAACTTGAATACAGGGAGGAAACAAGTACTTTTGGGGCCCTAGAGTGAACATTTGGTCCATATGAAATGACCAGGAAGACTATTATATGAAGGTTACCTCATGAATTGTGCTAAGTCAGTCTCTTCCCATAAGACATGTTCAAAGTTTTAATATTTCCATGAGAGGTTTCCATGGGAAGCAAGCATTTGATAATTCACCATTTAAATAAGAAAAACACCATCATACACTGCTTGAAAAGTTTTGATCTTTTATTATGTAAAACATTTTTATTATATAATATTTAAGACATACAAAAACATATGAAGAAAATTCGGATGAAAACCTATGAATATATCACCAAGGTTAAGAAATAATACAATTGAGCGCTATTGCATTTATGACTAAGTTAATTTATTAAGCATTAAAACATTTGGATTATTCCACTCAAGATATTGGGTTAGGGAGAAGTTTAGCAGGGACATCTATCAATTTTCCTAATGCAAAAGATTTAATTCCTAGATATTTATTTGGTCCACATTGTTTTCCTCTTGGAACTTGTAACATTTTTTATTGTTCCTTTTTTCTTATAATGTACTGACAATGACTTTGCATATTGCAAACCCACATGTCTAATTTATCAGAGGTTCTGATTAGAGGATATTTCTGCATCAAAGGTCAAATGTAACAAGGTATCATCATTTGCAAGTAACTGTAGAAGCCTCTATTATTTATTTGGCTTGATCTTTAAGGACTCTAGTTCCTTATTTATTTATCATATGTGTTTTAATCACACTGGAAATAATATCAAACACTGAATAACTTTTATTTATAAGACTTCTTAGCAATATATTATAGTCCATGTAGATACTAAATGAAGATATCAACATTTTTCTATGGGTCAGTACTTTTACTTTTTAAAGACATTAAAGCATACCAAATCATCTTAAAAATATTACCACTAAAGCTCAACATTCACCTGCCTGAATATGCAGACATTATGGCTAATGTTAAATACTAAACATGGTGAGAATTTTCTGAAACACTGGTTTCAGAGAGCTGTCATCCACAGAATCAGGGGCTAAGTAGTTGTTCATCTTTATGGTATAGCTTTAGTTCTGTATAACAAAGATTTACTGAGTACTTACAATGTGCTGGGCCCTGAGCTGGGTGCTGGAGACAGAGAGGGGAGACATTCATGAACCCTTCTCTTGAGTCTCTGTAGTTAGAGCATCACCCTTTGTCTGTAGAGTGTATGATTTTGCACTTACCCTCTCTAGAATCAATGGTTACTGAATATGGTATGTAAGATGAACAGTATAATATTGTTTTGAATAGAGAGGATACTTTAGATAGAACCCAATGATAGAACCTAAAGTGAAGAGTATAATTTTGGTGTGTGGTTGGTAGAATAACTGTAACATAATCTAACTTAAACCTTCTACATCAATTGTCGTTTTGTTGCTTTAACTGATGTTGTATTCCTAATGACTGTATTATTTAGATTTACATTTTGAAAAATGGATCACAAAGATACTATAACACATATATATGTATATGTGGGTATATGTACATATACACATATGTATATAAATATATATTTTGCTATTAGGGTTAGTAATCCCTTTCCCTTTGTGGAATTTCTTTAGAGTACTTCAGTCTTTTTTTCCTACCACAATAGTACCACGATATTATATTATTAACTGAGCTGTAGCAAGTGGTAATGATCCTTTAAAAGCATTTATTAAATAAATGAGGTAAAGATGTGATTTTCTTCTCTCATTCTTTGGGTTTTGTATAACATTGTAAGAGAAGCAAACACTTTTCAAGTACGTTCTATGTCTGTTTACAGTGATTCACAGGACAATTGTCTATAGTGCAGCTTTTGCATGGGCAAATTTTGCTTTGAACTTCTTTTTGACATTATCATGTAGTCAGCTTTCTTTAGTAGCTTAAACTCGACATCACCATCTCTGCTTACTTTAAATCTTAAATATATCCTGTGTCCTGGAAGGACCTGAAAGAGCTGGAGTTTTGAACCCAAGCTATGCAATTTTCTCTGGCTTTCTCAGAAAAGCTGTAAGTTGAAGGCAGGGGAGGGAGAGAAAAATGTGCGTTCTTTTGGTGTGTCAGTGTAGTGCATTCTTGTGATAAGGTGTGGTTAGTCCCCACATGTGGTAGAAAACAGGGAGTACTTGAAGGGGAAATGGGAGAGGGAAATAGAATTAATTTCCCTGCCATATTTTTGTAGCTTGATTTAACCTTTTAACAAAGTATTCCCAGACAATAAAATAAAATCCAATTAAAATGTATGTCATGAAGAAACACATTGTCGAGCTAAATAAAATTCTTAAAAGTCATTCACCACTTGAAATTATTTGCACCTCCCCTCCTCCCCCAACCTCCTCTAGACTAGATAACAGAAATAGATACTATGTGCAGTATGGGCCTGTGGATGTCTCTTTTTTGAATAAATCAGTGTAGTCAAACACTGTGAAAGAAATTGGATGCTTTAGGAAGAACGTAGACATCATTGCACTCACTATATTTCCCTGTGTTCCCTGGTCTGGTTGCTGAATTCTCATTATGTGAGGGCCAAGACATCTGCAGGTGTTAGGAGATAGATAAGCATAATATGTGAGTAGGCAATATAATAGCCATAGAAGAGATATGAGCATGCCTAATATTTCAGTGTTATAATCAAACAAAAGCTAAAGTTATGCGGCTACATAGTTATGATTTTCACAACCACTGCACTGTTGCTACTTAGCAACAAATGGTTAGCATTTGTAGAGGGCTATAATCATTACCTATCATTACCAAGTTTATACCATTTTATAGCAAAATGACTCTGAGCCCCTTGTGAAGAGCTGTAAATCTACCAAGGGGATCTAATCTCTTCTTTCTGATTGATGCAGGGGCCTGCTGTCCAGGTATGAGTGTGACAGACGGCTCTGCCAATGATACTGGAACCCAGGACTGAGGTCCCAAGTCACACTGGACTTAAGAAAGAACATCTCCTCTCTTCCACAGGGGACATTGCCAGCTTTCACTGAATACTGAATACTAAAAAGAGCAAAGTAAAGATCAGGCTGCCCAGGGAAGGAGTAGGGCAGGGTGCCCGGGCAGTGCCACCCAGCCGCTGAGGGCCACACACGCTCATTCTTGATCTACTCCCCCAGGAAGGAGCTGAGGGGTGAGTAAAGGAGGGCTCACTACCAAGCATGCTTGCTGGCACCCCACTAATTAGGACTGTGTTTGCTTAACCAAAGATACCCTTGAAGGACTAGAGAAGAAGGAATATCAATTACTCACTTCTAAGTGTGAATTAGTCCCCTCATGTGAATTTCTAGACTTCTACCCAGCCGAGGTAGAGTATAGGAAGTGTGACAGATGACGTGATGGAGACTGCATAAGGGGCTTTGGGCAACCAGGTGGACAATGAGGGCCTCAGCCTCCAGCAGATGGAGGGGAAAGGCGTTGGGTCAGGAGGGGCCAGGAACATGTGAGAAGGGAGTAAAAGGAAGGCGGTAGGAAGCTAGGAGGAAGGGTGTAAGTATAAACTGCGGGCCTTCACACAAGCATATGTAAAGTCTAAGCGTGTGCAATGCATTTATGATAGACTTGGCCTATAGATAGGCACAGGGATTGGTGGCAATTATGCTAATTGGCGAGGGAACCTACATGGGTCAAACTTACATAAGAACAGATTAATGCTTCAGATGTCAGTTTCTTACACATAGCAAGAGCTGTACATATCGGACCAAGAAGCCACCAACAAGGCCTTTCTTCCAATAGTCACAAGATGCTGTGTGTGATGCCACTGGCTCACACCTGGCGATATGTCCCTCTCCAAAACACTTTTGTTTCTTGGTGTTCTGTGGTTTGTTATTTCTTCCCAACAGCTTAGTTATACTTTCTGTATTTTCTTTAAAATGTGTGAATTCTTATTTGATTACAGAACGTCCATTTTACTCATTCACTTTAATAACCATAGGTTTAGTCCATCAGAGAGATAATTTCTTGTTTAATTAAGACTATCATGGCTCAATTTTTGGCCTCTGTTGTAGCGGACTAATTTGGGGACACCCTGGGCTTCAGGGCAGAGTCAAAGCTATGTATTTATGAAGCCATAGTCTCCAGATCTCATCCTATTTTATGGACAATAAATTATTTATAGATGTTGCCATTTTTTTAAACTGGGCTTTTATAAGTCGTTGTAATGAGGGAAATGTATATAACACTTCACTCTTTAAAGTCACATGGTATAAAATACGTTTTGTTTTATGTGTTCATATCTGTATTATAACCTATCCATTCATTTTCACTAAAGAATCCACATAGTTCATAACTAAGAAAAACTGGACAGAAAAATCAGTATGGTTTATCATCTGCATAACTTTTTAATGCAATTTAAGGAAAAATATCGGTGCCAAAAATGGTACTTCAAAGATAACAGAAGATTCAAAATTGGAATGGGTTACTAACGTTCCAAAAAGACCACACTGTAAGGCTGTCTTATTAGAATACGGTCCATGAGATACTTAATTAACATTGTGTTTTATTTCAGTGGGGTTATGGTGGGGAGGATTACAAATAAATGCTGTCGTCCATGAACAAAAGGTGGCATTATGGCTTATCCTGAAAGTCCAGTTCTGAATGAGCTGGCACACCTAAAACAATCTGTGGAATACAGAACCCAACTTAAAGAAAAGCACAGAAGTCCTTTGGCGCACCCCATCAGTAAGCTCTGCGGCAATCATATGACCCCCAGGCAAGGCTCCCGTCGTCTTTCGTCCAAGGTGAAGCGTCATGAAGGGAAGAGGTGTCTGCCTCCTCATCTAGGGAGAGCGGCACCGCCTTGGGTGGTAGGTCGCTTGACACCGTCATGAAAGGGGTGAAGGGGTAAGGAGGCGGAGTGGGGTACCCCGGAGTGTGGTGCAGATCCTCCAGCGCATGCAGCGAGTAGGGCTGAGCCCCCGCCAGGGAGGCCCCCCAGCTGGAGCCCCTGTGTTGGGCGGCGCTCCCAGACTCGAGCTGGGAGAGGCAACTCGAGCTGGGTGGCAAGGTCTGCAGGGCGTCGGCCGGCATGGGGTCCGGCTGGCTGAGGCTGTCAGGCACCGTCTGCTCCCACGAGTCCCTCTGAGGAGAATGGAAAGGTCACTGGGGTTATTCATTAAGTGACACTCTGATGATACATGGGGTTGTGTCGGACTGTGGCTTCCAGAGCAGCCTTTGTGGAGTCCCTCTACTGTCTGAACTCTAGCTATCCGGCACCAGCAGAGAAAGGTTTTAGTTCCTTCCTACTCTACAATTAGAGTAGATTTCATATATATATATATATATATATATAGAGAGAGAGAGAGAGAGAGAGAGATTTCTTTTCCCAGAAAGCAACATTAAATGAGTGAAATGTGAGAATAATAAAATGCACATCTACACAGCATTTTGCTGTTCACAATGCACTGTGTCTTGCATTCTTTTTGAGTCTCCCATTACTCCAGTCCCAGGATACCCTTTATACAGTGGGGAAGGTCAGTGCCCGGCCTGCTCCTGGAGCAAATAAGCCTCCAACTCCATGGTGGATTTTCTTGAGTGGGCTGGGAAGCCCACCCTGCCCTCGGTGAGCAAAGAGGTAGGAGTCTCACAGGCTTGAAACTGGAAAGTTCTGGGTTCATTCATGTCTGTGACACTAATTACCTTTCTGACTCTAAGCTCCTCACTCTGTCATCTGTAAAATGGGGCTTTCACAAATATATCCTGAGTTTTTGCAAGTATCAAATGAACAAAGACACATACAAGTTCCTGGCATACAGTAGGTGCTTAATAATGTTAATTCCCACCCCTTCCCTTTTGCCTCAAATCCTGTCTTTAGAGATTCATTCCTTTGTGGTGGAAGGCTTTACAGTTTTCTGTAAGAAGAGTATTAGTATTCTTCAGATCTTTTATGAACTCACTTCTTTGGAAGGATTGAGCGAGAACAAGGTTCTATAGGGTAGAAATATTGTGGGGAAGGGGAGGCAGAGGACTTGGAAAGAAAGGGAGGCCCCATGCACCTGCCTTGGGAGATGGCCACCCAACCACGTCTAAGATGCAACTCCGCAAAGATGCTGATGCTTTGCACTAATCAGGTGGGAGAACATCGGGCAAAACCAGTAGAGCATTAACAGAATGGGCATAAATCCTGCCTCCCGGTCCTCACGGTTGCAAGCCCTGGATAGACGCTATTCCTGGGGTGGTTAACAGGTATGCCCCTCCGAGGGTATCCGGGCAGAACCAGCCTGTCCTGGCAACGTCAGGCAGCTGCAAAGCGGCCTCAGGGGTCTCCACGGTGAGCCAGACCTGGCTTCCACCTGGTTGCCAGGTGCAGGGGCTGGGCCAGACCCGGAGCCCGAGTCGCCTGTGTACTCACAAACACCAAGTGCGCGGGGTCGCCGGGGAAGGGCGGCGGCAGCAGCGGCGGCAGGGGCGAGGCGCTGAACAGCGAGCCCGCGCTGGGCGGCAGCGCCGGGGCGCGGTAGTCCCCGTAGGGCTCCGGGAAGTAGGGCTCCAGCAGGCCCGCGTG